GGAGGAGACTAAAACCTCAATTTTTAGAAAATATTATCCAAATAATTATTATTGAATCAATTTGAGAATTTATCATTATGATTTTATGAGGCATATTTAACTTGGTAATAATATACTTCACTTTTGAAACATAATTATGAATATGGATATTATGTTAATTTATTGAGATATTTTTATGGTAAAAAGAGAAAAATCCTCAGATTCTAAGCCCCAATTTATTACATAAACTCTAAAATGTAGGATTCACTTAGTGTTTAAAGAAAAGCAATCTAAGCGTCAGTAAAACATTGGCAGCCTCATTTGTTGCTCTTTTTCCTCTTTTCATTCATTTATTTTTAAATATACAAAAAAATATAGATTCATGAGTTCTATATTTCACATAAAGAAAAAAGTTTTTTTTCTTTAGAAACTTCTATTTGATTGCCTATCTTGAAATTTTGCATTGCCATTTAGTTTGTTTCATTTGAAATTACATAACCAGAATTAATTTACATTACTCATACATACTACATTTTTTTCATTTTATATTTATTCTATTTAATGATTGAAAAATATTATTCTAAATATTTAATTAATACATAACATTTAAAAAATTCATTTTTTTTTTTCCCCTGGGATGTGTTTAACTTTGAGTTTAGGCTTTCTTCTGTGTTTTCCACCTTCAATGTCTTTATCTTGCTTCTCACGTTTTACATCTACATAGGATTAATCATTACATTATGAAGTATTTGGAGAAATATATATACACCAAAAAGTAACTATGTATCAAATGCCTAGTGTGGCACCAACTGTGACTCCTTTACATATGTGTTGATAAACTAATCAATTTTGCCATCCTTTTTGCTATCTGTGAAATGATACTACAATAGGAAATGAAGCACCCAAAGTTGTACACTAATTCTCCAGATAAAGAAACTACAACTCTAGACCTCAAAAGAGTAATTAGGAAATGTACTTAGTGATGTTAGACTTTAGAACATAATCAGTACTTTGGAGGTTATGAACAAAATGTTTACTATATAGAAGAGAAAATGTAAGTTTTCTATAATTTGATCTATAAATGGACAAGATAGAGGTTATTCTTAATATTTACACTATATATTATGCTATTAGGCAGTGTAATCAGTGCATTGTGAGAATAACTGATGACTTTTTCTGTATGCTTTAGTTGGACATTTGTAGCAAAATACAATATTCAACTACTGTCATTTCCCTTCTAAACTTTTAGTTTATAAGAGAAATGTCATAGTCTTTCTATATCCATAAATCTCTTATGTTTATTTTGGTCATCCTTTGTGAATTAAGAATATTATTACTTCTAGTTTTTTTTCTTAAGGTAAAGTATAATTGAATAAAACTCAAGGTGGTAACAATTTTCAAAATAGCAGTTAAATCTGCTATCTCCTTGAAGAGGAACAAATGTCTTAAAAGTAATCTTTTATAATAAATTTATTTTGTCTTTCTCCTTACTACATAGTTCTTTTTTATTATTAGCCACAACTTACTCTTGAAGTCAAGAGTAACTTACCCGCTTTGATAAAAACTATTCACTTACCATGCAGAGATCACTAAATTAGCCTCCCCTAACATGAAGGGGATTACTTGCTAGCTTAATGAGAGACTGCAACCAAACTTACATATTCTGTTCAGACAAAAAGTACAACTCCTTTGGTTTCGATTTTAGCATCATTTATAGGTATCTCATTGAATATTGTATGGAAAATCTAAGATATGGACTAGCACTTTTAAAAATGATGTCTTCCTTAAGAAGGAAGTGGAAAGAAATTCCACATGTTTTAGAATATCAAGAGGCTAGTTACTTGCCTGTGATTGTAAGGAGGTTTTGGTGATGATCCTTGAAGTGAAACTGTAACTGGGAGGTCCCAGGAAAAGGGGAAGTTCCAGGTTCCTTGCCCCACCCAGAAATAGGGTGGAGCTGAGCTGAGAAAAGAAGAGAAGGAATCTGAGGGAGAAGGAAGCAGGATGGAAAGCCAGGAGACCTGAGGAAGCCACATGGAGCAAAGGGAGACATGTGAAAAAACCACGTTTATTTGTTGACCCTGGACTGGTTGAAAGAGATGTGGTAGGGAGGTTGACTATGGAAGTGTTTATATTGATTTTGATTTTGCCCTTTTCCTCCCAGACTTGTCTGGCCATTTATGAACCTTATCTATGGGTCCTGGCCAGAAGATGCTTTAAGTCTTGTGGCGGGCTTTCAGGCCTTGCTTTGGACCAGTCATTTTTGGGTTGACTTTTGCACATGAGGGGATGGGTAACTTCAGGTGTTTGATTTAGAAATTATATTCTTTGTCTTCCATATTGTATACTCACTGTATTAGTCCTTTTTCATTAAATACATGTTTTGTCTTGATGCAGTGGATGGCAGAACCTATTTATAGCAGGCAGGTTTGAGGGTTCAGTGTTGTCTCTCTCTCCCTGTCCTATAACAAAACCACTTACAATTAGCAATATATTAGATAATATAAATGCTGTTCATATACAGAATGATATAAATTGTATAATATCAGGGTACAGGGAAAATCCTTCACCTTTCTGGCTTCATCTTAGTCTGGATGAGTATTCACAAAATAAGGTGGGTTGGCAAAGGAAAAATCAATTTAATAACATAATGGATGAAGAAGTCACATGGCCTTACAAGGCTATAAAAAGTGGGTCAAACTAAGGATGTATATCTAGGGACCTGGATCTCAAAGAGAGGAGAGAGACATCTTTACATGAGGAGGGGGCAATCTCATCTTTTACTCAAGAGAGTAAAATGATTAATTTCTCAGATAAGAAGAACAAATTCACTAGGTTTGACTATGCCTGGAAGATACCTTTTAAACTGCATTCTTCTGGGTCATGAAAAGGGGAAGCTGTGATCACATTTTTAATTAGGAAGAAGAAAAAAAGAGTGTTTTGGGAGTGACCATCTCTTCAACTAGGGAAGGGCAAAGAACTGATTCAAGGACAAAAACTTCTTACTCCTTGGGCCTCTTTGCTGTTAAAGCAGAGTAATTTGCATTCTTTAAGTAATGGCAATGGAGTTCCCAAGGTCACCAAGGTCTAGATTGACCTTACTTCCCCACTCCAAGGTGATACTGATTGAAACAGGCTTACCCTGCACATATTGAGAATAGATTATCTTGTCCTTTTAGAGGCACTGGTCCCACAACAGGGGTAAGTAGATACTATAAATTGACTCTTTTTTACTCTACTTTTATAAAAAACTTATAATTTCTTTTAAAGCCAAAGGGCTCTCATTTGCATAATTAGATAATGTGTAAAGAAAACTTTTAAAACACTAATTTGGGAAACTCAAACCATGGAGGCTTAAAAATTAACCTTGCATTCCAGAGTCAGAAATGTTTAGCATGAAATATTTATTGTAAGTGAATATGAAAAAGCTTATTTTTAATATATGTTGACTTATTTTGTTAGGAAAGACAGCCAGGTAGAAGTTATCGAAGTAGAACAAAATTCATAAAAGTTGGAAGATACAAAAATGAAGATGAAGATGACTGATAGATAATTTGATGATGAAAAGTCTTTGGAGTTGATTGTTACAGATTTGGTTACAAAATGGAGCTCTCCACTTTTTTTGTTAGACTTTGTCTAGTAGACTTAGACCCAAATGAAAATAGAAGCAACATCACTTAAGATGATACCATACTTTGATAATGTTTGGATATTGTGAGCTTTTATATTATCATTCTTGGCCACTTAAGGAAAATTTCTAAATATAATGAGAATATATATGCTTAAAACCACCTCTTTTGTAACAAAGTAATTTTGTCATGTATAGATGTTAGCAGGCAGAATGATGTGCACTCCAAGGCCCACAAAGTTGCATGCTGTAAATATTTCCTGCCATGTACCACATAAAGATAAACAGACTTTTAGTACATAAAAACTTAAATAGAGGAGAACTTTAATAGAATTAGTACAAAATAGAGAAAAGAGAAAGAATATAGTTTCCCAATGAAACACCCAAAATTACCCATCCCCTTATGGGTAAATTTCCTCCATAGCAGGGCTACTGAGGAAAGAAAGCTTACCACAAATCAAAAGCACCTTACAGCAGGGAACTATAGGAAAAGGGGCAGAAGGGGCCAAGCAATTCTGGATGGATAGAATCAAAACCAAAGTATAATTCAGTAGAAAGGCTGTCATTGTCAACCATCCCATGGGTCTCTCACTTACCTATCTTCCAAGTGTCTTCTATCTCCTCCAAGTCCTCTTTAAAAATCCACTTATTATTCCTCTCACATATCTGATTCATATGTACTTTGAAAACATGACAATTCTGACCCCATTTCTCATTCTTTAGGTTACTTTTAGTCATCTGTGAAATAATTTTGTTCCTCCCTTTCTTACTCTGAATCTTCCTTTAGACTTTCTGGACAACACTATCTTGCTTCTCATTGTTTATTTCTTACTTCTTCTCCCATCTGATTCCTTTTCTCATGGCACTCCCTGACAGGTCCCCCTTTTCCTCAGTTTCCCTTAAAACACTTTCCAAAGCATATCAAAAATGCTAAGAGAAGTACAGTTTATCAAAATGGAGTTCTTTTCACTTTTCTTTTTTAAGATTTATTTATTTATGCATACAGAACTGGGATAAAGGCCAGAGGTACAGGGGCAGTGAGAAGCTTCACCAGAGAGAGAGGGAAGCAGAACAGGCAGATCCACGAAGTACACTGCTGAGGGGAGCAGGGGCAGGTCAGGAGAGGTCTGCCACGCCTTGTGGATCACCTCGGGGCATGCCAGGACTGAACTCATGCTGAAGTGGCTTATGCTTCTTAGTGCTGTGCTTTAACCTGCTGAGCCACTAGGGAGGGCCTTCTTTTCACTTTTTATGAACTTTTCTTACCACACAGGTTTTTATTGTCTTTAAATGAAACACAACCATGAGAATATTTAATATTTGAGTACTCTTTTGAAATACTAAATTATAAATGAGAAATATTGTTGTCATTGCTTTCATTTTGTTTTCATAGAATATACAAAGTTCTGTTTATTTAAAAAGTTTTACTGAAGAGAGAGAACATATTCCTACTATTTCACATGAATTTAAAACAAAAGTTACCAGTACAAAATCAAAACTATCAAGACATCTCATTAAAAAAGGTTAGTTATACAACTATTTACACAGTATTAACATGTTTTGATAAATAATTAAATTCATTAGAAATTGGGCATGTTAATTTTGCACTGTATATAGAACACCATGTAGTATATGTTGAGACTTGTAGATAAATACTCAAATTTCATGTAATATTTTATAACGATGCATAGTCAGAAAGTCATTTTGTCAATCTCTGGAATCTAATTTTGTGTACAGATTGTGAATTAAGAGAGGTATTATCAAAAACCATATTGAATTTTCAGCTATGTTACTGTATGACTAATGGGGAAGTGCTTTCTTCAGGTCATCAGAAGTATCAGATTAATATGAGTTATTTCAATTAAATAATGGTAATAAATTTCCTTTGATTTGTATATAATACTTTTCTATTATATAAAAATATATTATCATATTTAACACAATTTTGTTTGTCAAATGAATATTTGTTTTCCTGGATTTTTTTCTGATAGTTTTCTTATCAGATGACATTATTTACCTCTGCTTTCACAAGGGAATGGTAAAATGATTGTTCTAAAATCATTTGAAAGGATTATTCTCTCAAAGATTTCTCTTAAACTTTTACTAAATCATTTTGATAAAATTGTATAACAGCAGACCTATTTCTTTAATAAAATTTCAAGTGTATGATACAGTATTGTTAACTCTGGGAACATGGTACAGAAACATCTCTAAAAATTTCTCTCTCCTGTTACTGAAATGTTATACGCAACATTTCTCTCTCTATCCAGGCTTTTAATTTTTTTTTTTTAAGATGTATTTATTCATGCGTATAGAACCAGGGTACAGGCCAGAGGTTCTGGGGCAGTAAGAGGATTCACCAGAGACAGAGTAGGGGGCAGAACAGGCAGATCGACAAAGTACACTGCTGAGGGGAGCAGCAGGCAGGTCAGGAG